AAAGACATGAACTGGAAATAAAGAAATAAAATGGAAATAGATAAATACAGTGGAAATAAAGAAATAAATAAAGACATGAACTGGAAATAAATAAAATGGAAATAAATAAATACAATGGAAATAAAGAAATAAAGACATGAACTGGAAATAAATAAATAAAATGGAAATTAATAATTACAATGGAAATAAAGAAATAAATAAAATGGAAATAAAGAAATAAATGGGAATAAAGAAAGAAATAAAATTGAAATAAATAAAAGAGGTCTTGTATCCAGGGACAAAAAGGACCAAATGTGGTGGAATGTTTTATCAGAACATTCTCCTGCAGCCACTGATGCAGAATTTTTGGGATGGAGGTAAACCAGGAAGACCAGAAGGAAAAGTTCATTTAGGTCAGGCTTTTTTTTTGCTGAGTTATTTAATCTGGGTCAGTTTTTGAAATGAAAAGTCAAAACATTTTATTTTAAAGCTGCCAGAGTGAAACATTGGGATGTGTTTTTTTAATATTTCCTGCTCTTCTGTGCTGTGTTGAGTGACAGCCTCAATTCCCAGGCAGATCCAGTTCCTCTGGAATGCCATCACTGGGTGAATTTTCTCCTCCTCATTTATTTTAATTATTATTTTCATAACCCTTCCACCTCATTCGTGAGGTTCTGAGAAGCCACCATGCTCTGACACTGCAGGATGGAGGGAGACTCACCCAGGTGATGAAAGCCTGAAGTTTTCCCTTTGGCTTCCAGAAAAGCAGGAAGCAAAGGAGCGAGCGGGTGGAAAATCTAAATCCTGTCTGGAGCAGGACACACACTCAGCTCTGACTTCTCTCAGGTTTCTCTCCTTGTGCCAAAACCCTCAGCACAGAAAGCTGGGACAGGGAGATCCTGGATTGTGTTGCTTTTGAGAATTCCTGAAATCCCAGGGGTTGGAAAAGCCCTCGCAGCCCAGGGAGTCCCAGCTGTGCCCGATGCCCACCTTGTCCCCAGCCCAGAGCCCTGAGTGCCACGTCCAGCCCTTCCTTGGGCACCTCCAGGGATGGGCACTGCAAAGCTCCCTGGGCAGCCCCTGCCAAGGCCTGAGCTCCCTTTCCATGGGCAAATTCCTGCTGCTGTCCACCCTGAGCCTCCCCTGGCCCAGCCTGAGGCCGTTCCCTCTCCTCCTGTCCCTGTTCCCTGGCAGCAGAGCCCGACCCCCCCGGCTGTCCCCTCCTGCCAGGGACTTGTGCAGAGCCACAAGGGCCCCCTGAGCCTCCTTTGCTCCAGGCTGAGCCCCTTTCCCAGCTCCCTCAGCCCCTCCTGGGGCTCCAGACCCTTCCCAGCTCCGTTCCCTGCCCTGGACACGCTCCAGCCCCTCCAGGGCTCTTTTCCAGGGCCCAGCCCTCGAGGGCCCTCTCAGAGCCGGCACAGAGGACCAAATCTCACTCATTAAAAATCAAGCACTGCCCAAATCCTAGTGGGATGACTTTTCTAAGTACTTCTTTTGACAGTAATTACAGGATAGCTCCAAAAAATAATTTCAGATTGGCATTAACAGTGGCACAGCAACTCTTGGATGCCCTCCCTGAGGCCAGAATTGAGAACAATTCCATTAATCCCTCTCCTCCGAGCTATGCCAGCCACGCTGAGGGCACATTTTGACACAGATTTATTGGGAGGCTGCAGGAACAGCTGAGGTGCACCCAGCTCAACACAGCCCTGTGGTGGATGGAGCATTTCCAACAACCTTTCCCCCTTTTTTTGGGATTCATGGTGGATACAGAAGTGGCCTCTGGGAGAAGAGCAGTTCATCCTCTTGCTTGAGTGTAGCAGAGACCCACGTGGCTCCGTCCTTGCCTTGAAAATTCGGGGTGGTTAGACCTTAATCAAGCATTCCTCAGGGATTCAAGGTGGTTGGACCTTAATAAATCCCACTCCATGTGCTATTTCCAGCTGCCTGTTGGCAAATCAGAGTCTGGAGTGACAGGAGCCACTCGAGCTTTTCCCTTGCATCATCTGCAGCCAGGAGGTGACAAAAGCAGCCCAACTGTTCCTGGTCCCTCAGCTGTGCCCTGCGTGTCCATCCCAGCCCATCCCGTTCCTGCCCCAACCTGCTGAGCGCCAGGAAAAGAGAAATGAATGCAGCACCAAGCAGAGAATCGGGGGAATTGCAGGATCATGGAATGGTTTGGGTTGGAAGGAACACTAAACATCATCTCATTCCACGGGCAGGGATGGATCAGCTTGCTCAGGGCCCCAAAGAGAGATTTCAGGCTCTGAAAGGTTTTTGTCTTCCGCTCATCCAGGGATTCGAGATCCTTCAGGAAGGATCCTATCCCAGGTGCCAGGACAGACAGTAAGAAATTAAGGAATCTGATTATCCTGCCACAGAACACATCCCTGTGGCAGCCTGGTTCCTTGGATACCCTGAAACACATTCCTGTTGGCCTCATCTCCACGTAAAATGTTCACAATAAATCCTTCATGCTGAGGGGCAGCTCCGCTCTCTGCCCCCTGTGACAGGGACAGGACCCAGGGAGCAGCTGGAGCTGGATCAGGATATTCCATCATTCCCTAATCCTGCCTGTTGGGACATTGCAGATATTTCCTCACAGGTTAACTCAGCACTTTACACATCTCCTCTGGATCCCGATTAAAAATCCCTTTCCCGTGGTGACAAACCTGACCTTTTGGGCCTTTGTCTTGCCCTAGGTGGATGTGCCACGAGATCCTGGAATTCTGCTCCCTGAATTCCACTCGCATCATCGCCTTTTTGGGGCGGGGACCCTGCGAAAGTGAAGCCAAAATTCGGTGCCTCCGGCCCGAGCTCCCTCTGCCGGTGCCGGTCCCGCAGCGCCCGCCTGGATCCTGCCTGGATCCCTCCTGGATCCCTCCTGGATCCCTCCTGGATCCCTCCTGGGTCCCTCCTGGGTCCCTCCTGGATCCTTCCTGGATCCCACCCTGATCCCGCCTGGATCCCGCCTGGATCCCTCCCGGATCCCTCCTGGATCGCTCCTGGATCCCTCCTGGGTCCCTCCTGGGTCGCTCCTGGATCCCACCCGGATCCCACCCGGAGCTGAGCCCAGATCCTTCCCGGTTCCCTGCCGTATCCTACCCGGATCCCGCCCGGAGCTGAGCCCGGATCCCGCCCGGATCCCTCCCGGATCCCACCTGGATCCCACCCGGATCCCACCCGTATCCTGCCCGGATCCCGCCCGGATCCCTCCCGGATCCCACCCGGAGCTGAGCCGGGAGCCGGGATGCGCTTCCCGGCGCGACCCCGCGGCTTCACCCCGGGGAGGGCTCGCTGGCAGGTGGGCTCTGCTTGGGTTGTTTAAATGGGAGTGGAAGGCATCCAGCTCCGGAGCGGGAAGAGGTTTATCCCGATCCAGGCAAAAAGTTGGTGGTGGGATCTGGAAGAGCCGGGAAACAGAAAAAAACCCCAATTTTATTCAGGAACGAGCCAAGCTCAGAGCATGGGAGTGAAATGTCCTCAGTTCCCTGTTCCTGCTGCTCAGAATTGCTCGGGGGGGGGTTTTCTCAGGAAGTTCATTTGGGAAAATATCCCAGTTTCCTAGGTAAGGTGTGTTGCTGGAATTGGCAAATCCTTTTGCATCACGAGAGGCATTTTGGACCTGTTCACCAGGACAGGAGAAGCTCCAGGGAGAGCTCAGAGCCCCTTGCAGGGCCTGAAGGGGCTCCAGGAGAGCTGGAGAGGGACTGGGGCCAAGGGCTGCAGGGCCAGGAGCCAGGGAATGGCTTCAGAGTAGGATTTGATGGGATCTTGGGCAGGAATTGTTCCCTGGCAGGGTGGGCAGGGGCTGGGATGGAATTGCCAGAGCAGCTGGGGCTGCCCCTGGATCCCTGGCAGTGCCCAAGGCCAGGCTGGACATTGGGAGCTCCTGGGACAGTGGGAGCTATCCCTGCCATGGCACTGGATGATTTCCAAGGTCCCTTCCAACCCATTCCAGGATTGTTTAACTCTCTGGTTCAGCAAACTGACTTTTTAAAAAGGAAAATCAAATGCACACTCCCCCCCAGCTCCCAGTAACTCCAGCAGGAAGCCAGGACACCCTGGCAGTGTTTCCACAAGAAATTCAGGCAGTGACAGGACTCGATGTCCATAGCTGCAATAAACAGAATAATCCAAGTGGATTAAGCACCTAATTTTTTTCCCATTCATGGAGTAGTAATTGAATTTTCTTCTCTCTTCTTCATTGTCACAGCCAGAGACAAAACTTCCAGCTGATGATTGGTGTAGGCTTTTTATTTTTAGGGGTTTTTTTCCTTCTTCTTTTGGGGAGGGAGAAGAAAAAGGAAGGATCTGTGCTAAGGAAGGATTGTAGGCCTGGATCCCATGGAAGACCAAGATTTCCTGTGATCTTCCAGCACCCCTTAGAGGGTGCCATCATAGAGATTCCAAATAAAAATGGGGCTTTTTAAATCTCTCCCATTTTTAACCATTTTCTTTAAAAAAAAAAAAATAGTTGGTACTTTTTATTCTCCCCCTTCTTTTTTTTTTTTTTTTTATCATTTTCTTGAAGAAATAAACCTCATTACAGTGCTCTTTTCCCAGACAGGGGTCTTCCCTCCAGCTGATTCCCAATGTTTTACAGGATGAGTTCCACATCCTGCTGCCTTCACAGCAGCCTCAAACCCAGGTCTGAATTCCTATGGAATAAGCAGCAAATGAAATCGCTATCAAAATAAGCAGGAGCTCCAAAAAAACCTCGAACAACCAAACGAGAGGAGTTGAATTAACTCATCAAAGACCTTTTGGAGCATCAGCGCTGGTGAATCACCACTTTTTCCCTCCCTCAGCAACTCCATCCTTGCCTGGAGCCCCAGGGAGGGCAGGTGGAGTGGGAAGGGCATGACTTCAGCAAGTTAAAAAAAAAAAAACCCTTCCCTAAAAAAAAAAAAAAAAGAAGCAGAAAGTCGACATCACCCCAGTCATGTGATGGAAAAGAACCAATGGAGGCAGGTCCTGGAAAGGGGAACAGTTAAATTTGTAATTTGGGTTGTGTGAAACACTTCTTTGGGCCTCATAAACAACCACAGAACCACAAGTTGGGTACAGAGGCAGTCACCCAAGAGCGGGTCCGGGATATTGGTCAGCAGGGAGGGCGAATCGTTGTGCCTGCAAACCACAGGGTTTCAGAGGGTGGTAAGCATCATCAACCACAACCAAGCTGCTTTTTTTTTTTTTTTTTTTTTTATTTCCCCCCCCTCCTTCTTTTTAAGAAAGAATTTCGGAGTTCTTTGAGTAAAAGTACCTCAGGATCCGCTCCCGAGGCGCCGGGATGGAGCCGAGCGGGATGGCTGGGAGGAGGGTGGTGGCAATGACCAATCTTCATTTTTCACTCCCCAAGGTGGAAGAACCCCTAAATTCCCTCCCAGTGAAGAGAGAGTGAGTTTTAAAGAGGAAAGGATGGCTTCAAACAGCATATTTGAGTCACTTCCTTCTTACCAGCACTTCTTGAGAGGTAAGTGCCATTCAGATTTTCTAAATAGATGTTTTGCTTGCCCATGGTTCAGAAAATGCATGTTTGGAGAGGATCTGGGCACTTCCTTGTGGTACAGGGGGTTTTTTGCACTTGGCTTTTCTGGGAGCTGCTATCTGAGCTCTCAGAAATATCATCTCATTGCTTATCAGTTCAAGAGATTACAACAAGGACTCGTTTAAGCTGTTCAAACAACCATTGCATGCTCGTGAATTTGCTTTTCCTAAATCCCAGTGGGCTGGGATAACTCCTGGGAATTGCTGGAGGTACAAGAGTGGCAGCCCAGGCTCCTTTTGGGTTCTTTTCTGGGGACTTTTTGAGCAGCTGCCATGACAAATGACAGTGCAGGGAGGGAGCAGCAAGCCCAGCCAGCAGAGCAGGATTTAGGCTGGGTTTAAGGCTCAGAAAGAAGCTTAAGGAACCTGCTTAAAGTTTGCTGCAACTCACGTGGCTCGGGGAAAGGAGTGCTGGGGATGGGCTCTGAGGATGCTCTGATGGCCGAAGGAGCAACTGCAGCCCTGGAGGGGCTCCGGGGGGAAGCGAAGGGCTTCACCCAGCAATCTGTGTTTTGTCACCAGTGACCAAGAGGTTGTAACGTTCTTGTCATGTTCTCACCGCCCCCCGTGGAGCTGATGCTTTAGTCATGGCTTATTCACACAGCTCAGCCCGGCGCTGGCACGGGAAACTTCTCAGTTTCCCGGGAATTGCCTTCCCAAAGAACTGCTGCAGGTGAACTTTTCCCCTGGCCACGCCGTCCTGCAGCGGGGCTGGGCCCACGTGGGTGACAGGGACCTGTCCCAGGCCAGGCTTGGCCAGAGAGCAGAGCTTCAGAGCTGGTTCCAGCCCCAGAGCGCCTGTGAGTCAGGAGTTTATTCCCATTAATAACGGGGAATGCGGAAGGCTGATCCCAGCTGCTGTGTCACAGCTCCTGAGGGTCACAGCTCCCCGGCAGGGCAGCCTGCCCAAATCCTACCCGGCTCTGCTGCTCAAACCTCTTCCCCCACCTCCACCCCCGCCCTTCTCCTCATATCCAAAGCTTTCTCTCCATCTTTTTCCTGGCACTGCAGCCTGTGAGTCACCAACACCTTCGTGCCTGGGTGGGGGAGATGCTCAGGGGTGAGCAAGAGGTGCCCAAGTGCTGACATTGCTCAGCACCCCGAGCAGGGAAAGGAAGCAATACTGCTAAAATAACAAGCAGGATCTTCCTTCGTCAGCCTTTTTGTTTTTATTTTTTTTATTTTTAATTTAATTTTATTTTATTTCATTTTTTTTTAGCTCAGCCAACTGCTCGGTGTTTAATCTGTAGCACAGGAAGGGTTCTTGAGGAAATCTTGTGCGTGTGTGATAAAGAACAGAGTGAACCTCGTGGGGCAGTGCCAGACTGGACTGGGATGGGGAGCAGGGGTCGTGTGGTTGGCAGGAACCCAAAAAATTTGAGAGCAGCTGGTTGAGAACCAAGGGCTGACTCGTCCAGAAAAGGAGGAGTTTCTTTAAAGCTGCTTAATCCAGCAGGAGATTTAGCTCAACACCACAGAATTATGTTTATTTTTGTTCTTACTACTCGTTTTTGACTCAATTAAATGTTGCTCCTGCGCCAGTATTTAATTTTCTTTGGGGCATGGGCTACAAGCAGTGTAGGGATGTGGCCCTTGGGGACAGGGTTTGGGGTGATGCTGGTGGGGCTGGGGTGGCACTGGATGATCCTGGAGGTTTTGAGGTGAATTAATGGAGAAGCTCTTCCTGCTCTGAAGGCTGGAAGTCATCTGGGTATTTTAGAAACTCCTGGAATGTTCTGGGCCAGGCTGGATGGGGTTTGGAGTAAGCTGGGATAGTGGGAGGTGTCCTTGCCCATGGCAGGGGGTGGAATCAGATGATCTCCAAGGTGCCTTCCACCTCAAATCATTCCTTGTTTTTATATTTAGATACAATTTTCTATTCAGTTTTGGCAGCCCAGGCACAGATCCTGGCACCAGATCCTGCAGAACCTTGGGCAAAGAGGTTTTTCCTGCAGAAAACCTCAGGTCCAACACTTGACTTTTGTAAATTCGTGAAAGAAACGCTTCATCATTGCAAAAGAACACGTTGTGTGTGAGCGTGGAACGGTTTTCCAGCAGTTCCCTTTTCGTTCCTTTCTCCACTCCAACGAACTCCGGGCAGTTTCAAAATCCTGGGCGCAGCAAAAGGAACGTTTGGAGCAAGAAAAATACTCATCCCTAGGGTGGGTCGTTGTCAGGCTGTTTCTCAACAGGCTTTGCAAAGAAACGTCCCCAAAGCGCCTCTTCCACGCTATTCCCGCCAAAATTTATTGCGCTTTCTCCCTCAACTGAAACCGCGAAGGGAAAGGGGAACAAAAAGCTCTTTTCTCCGTGGATTTCCCTTTATCGGGCCGTGCAGCTCTGTGGGAAGGAAGCCCATCCATTCTTGTGGAGCTTGATAGTGATAAATATTGATAAATTGGGGAGAGGAGCGGGGAGGAAGCGCTGCCGCGGGATCCGAGGGTGATCCCGGTTCCTGTCGCCCCACCCCGCTCCTCGCCGGGAATGAGGAGCAATTCCCAGCGCATCCCAAGGAAACCTGCTGGGATGGGCCTCAAAATGAGGCCTGGGGCTAAAGAGTGACCCTGTAGATTTTAGAGGAGGACAAAATAATTACGTCACACATACCCTTAATTTTTATACTTTCTTTTATAATTTCTAATTTTTTATTGTTTCTAATTTTTATCATTTCTAATTTTTACAATTTCTGATTTTATCATTTCTACTTTTATCATTTCTACTTTTACCATTTCTACTTTTATCATTTCTAAATTTATAATTTCTATTTTTTATTATTTCTGATTTTTATAATTTCTAATTTTTACAGTTTCTAATTTCATAATTTCTCTTTTTATTATTTCTAATTTTTATTTTTAATTTTTTTAATTTCTAATTTTATCATTTCTACTTTTATAATTTCTAATTTTACAATTTCTATTTTTATTATTTCTAATTTTTATAATTTCTAATTTTTATAATTTCTAATTTTATCATTTCTACTTTTATCATTTCTAACTTTATAATTTCTAATTTTTATAATTTCTACTTTTATAATTTCTAACTTTATAATTTCTAATTTTATCATTTCTAATTTTATCAATTCTAATTTTTATCATTTCTACTTTTACCCTTTCTAATTTTATCATTCCCTAAGATGATTACATTGCAACAATTTAAAATTTCCTGATGATTTTGCGTATAAAAGAAAACAGAACTAATATTTGTGTGCAGCTCAAAATAGCACCAAGCACAATATTTTCCAGGAGGGCACTTTTCCCTCATTTTTTGCTGCAAGGTCTGATCCCTTCAACCTGCAAAGAAGGTTTATTCCTGCAAAAAATGGTTTTGCCTTTGTGATATTTTTTTTATTAATTAATCATGGCCGTGGTTTGACATTTGGATGGTTTGTGCTCGACTGGGAGCACAGTTTTATAACAGCACAGTATAATATATATATATTATATATATATATAATAATTATTATATTATATTATATTATATTATATTATATTATATTATATTATATTATATTATATTACATTATATTATATTATATTATATTATATTATATTATATTATATTACATTACATTACATTATATTATATTATATTATATTATATTATATTTATAATTTTATAACAGCACAGCAATTTTATAACATAAAAAAAATACAAAACATAAAAAAACCACCAGAAAAATACACTGTGGGTAATTCCTTCTGAGTGCTACAGTGCCAAGGAGCACCCAGGCAGGGAGGGATTCTTGCCTTGTAAATGCAAAATAAAAATGTGGTGAGTCCAAGGAAGGGCAACAAAGCTGGGAAGGGGCTGGAAAATAAATCCTGGGAGGAGCAGCTGAGCTGGGAAAGGGGCTCAGCCTGGAGAAAAGGAGGCTCAGGGGGGACCTCACTGCTCCCCACAACTCCCTGACAGGAGGGACAGGGAAAAAATGAGAGGAAACAGCCTCAAATGGCACCAGGGGAGGCTCAGGGTGGAGACTGGGAAAGAAAATTTCCCTGGAAGAGCGGTCAGGCCTTGGGATGAGCTGCCCAGGGAGGTTTGGAGTCGCTGGAATTGTCCCAGAGGAGTCTGGATGTGGCCCTTGGGGACAGGGTTTGGGGTGATGCTGGTGGGACTGGATGATCCTGAAGGTTTTGAGGTGATTTAATGGAGAAGCTCTTCCTGTTCTGAAGGTCCTCCCTGCTTGGATTTAGGGACACCTTCCCCTGACACTCTGCTTCTCGTTGAAAACGAGTGGCTCTGACTTTCCTTATGGAGGGATTCCCATTGGAAAAGTCCTCAAGCCCCTGATGCCGGGTGGGGGTGGAGGCTGAAGCCATCGGTGGCTCCTTCCCATCAGCTCCAGAATTGTGGATTCCTCATCCCTGGCAGTGCCCAGGCTGGACACTGGGGCTTGGAGCAGCCTGGGACAGTGGGAGGTGTCCCTGCCATGGGATGGGATGAGCTTTAAGGTCCCTTCCAACCCAAACCAGTCTGGAATCCCCTTTTCCCAGCAGCATCAATTCCCTTATCACTGTGGAGAGAGAATTTCCTTGCCTGCCCCATCCCAAAGAGTTAATTCGTGTCAGCATTATAAACCACCGACTGCAGCTTGCAAATAGGAAATTGAACTAAAGCTCATAAAAACCTTGGCTTACAAGCAGAAAAACCTTGCACAATGTCTGATTTACACAGCCTGAGCTCTTTTTTCACTTAAAAGCCTTGAGAAGCGTCGCGAGGCCCGAACGCAGGAAGTAAAAAAAGCCTGACAGAGCTGAACACGCTGCTCTGGTGAGATCAAGAGATTTTATCCTGCGCCAAAATATTTCCCTGAGCGCTCGAGCAGCCACACTCAGCCCTGGGATTTGTTGAAAAAGGATTTAGGTTCTGTCTGGCCTTCACATCCCTCAGATTGCGTTGCCTTTGCCCTTTATCACTTGGCCATTA